TTAATTATCTTAATTAAAGATTAATAATATGATTAATTAATTTTAATTAATATTAAATTAATCATTTGATTAAGTTAATTATCATAGTTAATTAATTTAAATCATTAATTTCCTTTAATATTAGTCAAAGTCAAAATTATCTTTCTTCATTTCAATTTCACCCAAAGCTTTTATAATTAAGCAATTTAGTCCATGGGTCTCAACTCTTTTCAAATCAGTCCTTTATGTTTCGAATTTAATCAAATTAGTCCCTTTAAATTTTATTTGTGCTTATGATGCATGCATGTCTTTGATTTTGTCCATTTTAATCCAAAAATTCAAAAAAATGTTTCAATTTGGTTTATCCTTTTTTAAGTTTGCTTATTAAGACCTAAATTTAAAAATATAATAAATAAGTTGAATTAAAACTCTAATGTTAAAGTATGTAACTATATTTAAATGGAGGATTGTGAAGTACGTGCATGCCTTTTTTCATTTCTAACCGAACCTTTGAATTTCGATTTCTATGCAGACTTGTTTTATAAGTGGCTTCTCCCACCTTATAATTCGAACCAATGATGACTCCTTTTCTTATATATATTTCACACTTAATGTTGTTTTCATTATTTTGAAAAAACCTTTAAGTTTTGTGGTAGTCTACATTGGTCCACATTTAATCTAATTTTATTTATTTATTTTAATTTAGTTATTAAATATAATATAAAACAATTAATTCAGTCACTTTTTATATAGAAAAGGTTAAATACCCTTTTTGGTCCCTCTACTATAGGAAAAAGCTCCTTTTTAATCTTTATACCGAAAAAATCTCCTTTTTGGTCTTTACTGTTCACAAATCCGATCCCTTTTTAGTCCTTCCGTTAAATTTTGGCTGATGTGGCAGGTTAATTAACGGAAAAACTTTTTTTTTTTTACCATTTTACTAAATTACGTGGAAAGTTCATTTGGCAAAAATTGATTACATGGTTAAATTTTTTACATTTAATTACTGATTTACCCTCATCTTCTTCCTCATCCTCTCCTTCCTCTGGCCTTTTTTTCTTTTTGTTTTTTCTTTTTTTTCTTTTACCTCTAGGCGAACCCAAGAGCCTGGGTTCACGAGGAACCTAGTTCGCGGGTTCCCAACGAACCCAGGAGCCTGGGTTCACGAGGAAGAGCATCTTGTTTCTGCTCAAATGCCATCCGGCCATTGCCATGGGCACCAAAACAACGACGCACGCCGCCAACACCCCTAATTGCATTGCCCCGATCATCATCCCTGCACTGATCGCGAAAATCACAACATCTTGATGCTTCCGAAGAATGGACAATCAAAGATCCAAGGAATGGAATGGATGAGTACCCAACGAACCCAGAAGCCTGGGTTCACGAGGAAGAGCATCTTGTTTCTGCTCAAATGCCATCCGGCCATTGCCATGGGCACCAAAACAACGACGCACGCCACCAACACCCCTAATTGCACTGCCCCGATCATCATCCCTGCACTGATCGCGCAAATCACAACATCTTGATGCTTCTAACGAATGGACAATCAAAGATCCGAGGAATGGAATGGATGAGGAATTGTTTTGTTAATAATTGAATTGGCTTGAGAGCGAAGACAAACAAGCGGTGGGGGTTGAAAGGAATGGTACAACCGTTCTTTTGGTAGCCGGTGGCTGTGTTTTTCTGCTTACCAAAAGGTTCATTGTAAATGTTCAATCGAAAATTTCATTGAGGTTTTTGAATTGACTTGCCCTTTGATCATGATTTATGTTTGGTTTTAGTGTGAATGAAGATGTTTAAATTTTGGGTTTTGGGGGAAAATGGGTTCTGGAAAGGTAGAAGTTCTCTTTCTTTGCACACCAGTTGCTCGATGGAATGCCTGAGTAGGATATACTGTTCCGGATGGCATTTGAACAGAAACAAGATGCTCTTCCTCGTGAACCCAGGCTCCTTGGTTCGTTGGGTCCTCATCCATTCCATTCCTTGGATCTTTGATTGTCCATTCGTTGGAAGCATCAAGATGTTGTGATTTGCGCGATCAGTGCAGGGATGATGATCGGGGCAGTGCAATTAGGGGTGTTGGCGGCGTGCGTCATTGTTTTGGTGCCCATGGCAATGGCCGGATGGCATTTGAGCAGAAACAAGATGCTCTTCCTTGTGAACCCAAGCTCCTGGTTCGTTGGGAACCCGCGAACTAGGTTCCTCGCGAACCCAGGCACTTGGGTTCGCCTAGAGGTAAAAGAAAAAAAATAAAGGCCAGAGGAAGGAGAGGATGAGGAAGAAGATGAGGGTAAATCAGTAATTAAATGTAAAAAATTTAACCACGTCATCAATTTTTGCCAAATGAACTTTCCATGTAATTTAGTAAAATGGTAAAAATAAAAAAAGAGTTTTTCCGTTAATTAACTTGTCACATCAACCAAAATTTAACGGAAGGACTAAAAAGGTGCCGGATTTGTAAACAGTAAGGACCAAAAAAAGAATTTTTTCGGTATAGGGATTAAAAAGGAGCTTTTTCCTATAGTAGAGGGACTAAAAAGGATATTTAACCTATAAAAAATAATACATTTACCCTACAGACCCACACACGCAACCACACATCATCGGTCTACCTAATAAAATATAATTTTTTTCCACAAATTTGCTTATCCTTCGCTTGTCCAAATTCCATTCAAATTGGGAAAATCGTCAAGTTCATCATCAACAACAATAGCTCCTTTGATGCTGGAAAATCTTGATGCCATAACAAAAGTCACACTCATCCTCGCCTCCATGAGAGTAAGATGGAGTCCTTTGGGTTTGATTGTCAAATTCATAAAAACATAAATCGCATTCTAAAAAGCTTTGAGTTGAGAAGGATTCATAGATCCCATTCTTGTACGACCTCTCCCTTTTTGTTGTCAACCAGACGGGCTTGCCACCAATCAAAAGCATGTGAAGGAGACAAGAATTCTAGGAATTTTTTTTAGCCATATCCTTTCCTTTCTTGTAGAAAATAGCCATGGTTGGAAAAGGGCAAAAGTGGAAAATTTTGGCCTTGTATAATTCGAGGGTGGAAATGAAAGAAAGGAAAAGGAACAGGTGGATGAAATTGATAGAATTTTAGGGTTTCTGGGGATTTCTTGTGTAATTTAGAAGGGGAGATCTAGGGAGATTTTGGAGGGGTTTCAGTCGACCAACTAAAAAAGAGCGTGAGCCGACAAGACAAAACAAAAAAAAAAAAAAAGAGGATTTTTTTGTTTTGGGAATCGGCCAAAAAAAAAAATCAAAGAAAAGAGGCTGGAGGTTTTTAGGTTCTGATTTTTTGAGTTTTCTTCCTCCATTCTAGGATTTGAGAGAAGAGAAAAAAGAGAAGGGAAGAAGAGGAACAATTGCAGTTAGGAGAAGGACCCCCTCAAGCCTTATATAACTTCCCCCTCTATTCCTATTTTTGTTTCTCGTGTAATTTCAATGCATTATGGGCAATAAAATGCAAAGTTTGTTCTAGATCTATGGTTTATTAATGTTAACTTTACTTGGAACCTCTTGATTTTGATTGTTTCGCACTGTGTTTTTCTTTGGTGTTGTGAGTTGGGAATTGCTATTCGAAATTGTGATTAAAGGCTTGTGGGGGACTAACTCAACTTTGAGTTTCCTTCTTTTGACCAAAACACAAGAACCCATGTCCTTGTACTACTGCTCCCATGGCCTAGATCTAATGACGATCAAGTACAAAATGTAGAGGATGTCCTTTGTCAAGCTGCTATAAAATTAGTATATTTGGAAACATAAATAAACCAATGCAGTATGAATGGTCATAAGTTTAAGCTATTCCACGTCTAAAAGACCAAGTTGTGGGATATTAGTTTTTTAAAGAGTATGTGTTTGGAGGTGATGAAACTAGATGTTTGCAAATCATCATCTTTTTTTATTTTATATGTATAATTATATTTTAAAATTTATTTATTTTTAATTTTAAATTAAAAAATAATAAATATTTAATCCAAATAATTGTTGATTTTTTTTTTTCACTGGCAAAAGAATTTATTATATGAAAATAAAAAGAGATATAACCATTACAAAATCTCTATCTCGTTTACAATCTCATGCCAATGCAAATGGAAAAAACAATTAACTGACAAACATAATAACAAAAAATTAACTAAAATCATCCGAGAAGCAAACAGAAAACCACCCTCTTTGAATGAAATAATCAAAGATGAAGGAAAGAAAACTGATCATATGAATTCTTGCAGCAGAAAACTCCCAACAACCACACCACAATTTTTGAGGAAGTTAGCACTAGTCTCTAAAAATGGATAAGTACTGCTTACTAGTCCTGTTAAAAGAATGTGGTTTTGTTTGAGGTTAAAGTCATATTCAAAATTCAGTAGTTTTCTATGGATTATAAATTATCTAAGGACAAAAATAATTGATTTTGAATTTTTTGATCCTAACTTCTAACACATTACAGATGCTGCTGCTACTTCCCTTATTTGTCAAACACTAAACTCTAGTTGAGAACACTTCAAACCAAACTTCAGCTGAGAATACTTCAAACCCTTTTTCAAATATGCAATTAGACTTTTCAGCTTGAGTACTTGACTAACATTTTCGGATTTTCCTAGGTTTTCAATACTCATATAAGAGCAGTGCCAGGGCTCATTCACTTTACAGAAGAAACAGGCAACTTACATTGCATTTCTTTCTCCTCAAGTTGCAACAGTTGAAAGATCATCAATCCCTTATGTCAGAGAGAATACACAGTTGTGTCTCTTCTGTCAAGAAGAAAATACGTAAATGGGCTTCCCATTATCTCCACTTCTCCTTTCCCCCGTTACTCACTTCAGGTGTTATATTAATTTTTCAATAAGAAGTGGATTTGAACCCATTCCTCATAAAATAGAGAACATGTACTTTAAAAATTGAATTATAAGTTCATGTCCATGTCATTGATGTTTCTCAACTTAACCTCATACGCCACCCATGACAGGTTTACTTCTTGGCCGTTTCGTGGCAAAAAAGGGATTTTTAGGTTACCTGATTTTGTTTGCTCTGAGAATGGATGGATGGTAACCTTAGAAACGCATCAATTGGTTCAAATGTCCAAGCAGGATTATCAAATTTACTGAGCACATTCTTGGCATACTTAGGATATAATCAAATCGGTCTCTTGAAAATGATTCTCTACACTCACTCAACTTTCACAGCTGCAAGTAATTCATTTTTATTGGTGTTATATATCTTTTCCTTTTTTTATGAGATTATTTTGTGCAATTGGAAAAATCAATAGAAATTATCATAAAAAGTGTTTTATAAAACTTCAAAAAATACCAAAATTATTCTTGAACTTTAATTTTCGGTACCAAAATAATCCTTCTGTTAGTAAAAGTGCTATTTAACTTGTTATCTTACCACACAATCAGTTCTTTTTTAAGATAATAATGACATGTAGAGTTAAACAGTTATATTTTGTTATCATGGTATATTTTCATTTACATATCAAATTAATATATAATTAAAATTAAAAAACCAAATTGATATTTGTAATCAAAATTTAAGGAGTAAGTTGATACTTGTTTTCAAAATTCAAGAACTATTTTGGTACTAAAATTTAAAGTTTAGGGACAATTTTGGTATTTTCAAAGTTAAAGGATAATTTTGATATAAATCTAAAAGTTGAGAGACCAAATTAACACTTTAACCTAAACAATAAGTGTCATATGCAAATAAGGGCAAGAATAACAATCTAAAAACAACATGCTAGCTACCCTTACGATTCATCCACAAAAACCTACTTTTAGCCACTTACCTTACCAAGTTTGAAGGTTTTAACCCCTTACCTTATATTATAATATTTTTAACCATAATCTTACTAGATTTATAGGTTTTAGCCTCCCACCTATTAAAATTGAAGAAAATAGCCTTCACTTTATATTAACTGTTAACTCTGTTAGTTGATAAAAACTCTGTTAGTTGAAAATGGATTTTTATCAACTAACAGTTAACTAATAGCCAATTAACAGAATTAATAAAATATTATAAAGTTAGTTTTGTTAATTCTATTAGCTAAAAGAAGATTTTTGACAGTTAACGGTCAACTAACAGTCAGTTAACAGAGCTGACAAAATATTACAAAGTAAGAGCTATTTTCTTCAATTTTAATAGGTGAGGGGCTAAAAGTGTCATAATATAAGGTAAAGGACTAAAACCTATAAATCTAGTAAAATGAGGAGTTAAAAATGTCATAACATATGAAGAGAAGAGTTAAAATCTTTAAACTCAATAAGGTGAGAGATTAAAAGTAAGATTTTACCCAATTCATCCACCTTTCAATACAACAAAATAATGTAAAAATACACTCTTAAAATTTCTCGAACAATAATTAATATTGAGATTCTTAAAAGTTGGCTTGAGACACTGATAGCAAATTTTTTTTCAAAAAAACAAAAAAAGGAGCATTATTAAAGGTAAACCCTTATCGAAAGAAACTGCTTGTTAATGGGAATATTAATCAAAGGGCACTAAGCCACGGGTTAAAGCCAACTGTAGTCCTCGTACTTTGTGAAATTGTTCGTTACCGTCCCTCTACTAAGGAAATGTTCGATGTCGTCCCTCTACTTTCCTTAACAGCATAAATGTCGTCCCTCTACTACACATTTTTTGTTCAATGTCATCCCTAATGGGATGCCATCCACACTTCCGTTAATTTTGAC